AATCCCTAATCCACCAGATACACAACTGGAGAAGGAGGGGCAATCTCCCACTGTGGCTGTTGGATCTGACTCGATAGTACACAACAACAACAACAACAAAAAGAGCCAATAGAATGAAGAAGTTCAAGCTGCACAGTAGGCACTGACCAAAAATAAGGCCCTAGGAGTTGATGAAATACAAATTGACATCTTTCAACTAACACATGCAGCCCTGGACATGCTCATCAGTCTATGCCAGAAAATTTGGAAGACCTGGCCCACCGACTGGAAGAGATCCATGTTTGTTCCTATTCCCTAGAAAAGTGATCCAATAGAATGTGGGAATTACTGTGAAATATTATTAATATCACATGCAAGCAAAATATTCAAAAAGGCCTAGAAAAGTGCATAGAGAATGCCAGAAGTTCAAGCTGAATTTAGAAGTCTGTGGAACCAGAGATATCACTGCAGAAGTCAAATCGATCCTGACTGAAAGAAGAGAATACCAGAATGTCTATTTGTATTTTATTGACTATGCAAAGGCATTTGACTGTGGATCATAACAAATTATGGCTAACATTGAAAAAATATTGAGAATCCCAGAACACGTAATTGTGCTCATACAAAACCTATACCTAGACCAAGAGGCTGTTAGATGAACTGAGCAAGAGGATACTATGTGGTATAAAATTAAGAAAGGATTTAAAAACAAAGTAAAAAAACAAAAGGAACCAAATAAAATTATAAAATTAAGAAAAGAGTATGGTAGAGTTGTATCCTTTCTCCACACTTAGGGAATCTGTATGCTAAACAAATTATTCAAGAAATGAGACGCCATGAAGAGGAATGTGGCATCAAGACTGGAGGAAGATTCCTCAAAAAAGTGCATTCAGAGTGCTCCTTGGAGGCAAGATGACAAAGCTTTGTCTCACACACTTAGATGTGTTGCTAAGAGAGTCTATTTTTTTTGGGGGGGGGTGGACATCATGCTTAGAAAGATGGAAAAATAGCAAAAGAGAGGAAGGCCTTCAGTGAGGTGGAACAACACAGTAACTGCATCAATGGGCTCAAGTATGCCAGAGATTGTGAGGATGGCACAGGAAAGGACAGGGCTCAGATCTGTTGTTCATATACTTGACTACAACAAACAAACACTAATACATTAAAAGAAAGTCAATATTAAATGAGTGATTAGACATTGTATTTAATTAATTACATTGTTATGTGCAAGAGAATTTGAACACATGCATAGCTGACCCTCCAGCAGATTTTTAAAGGCTATGCTATCTTTTTTCCCATAGATCAGCTCATGGATTCAAACTTTTTGCCTTCAGGTTGGCAGAGCAGTTCCTTTCCACTGGGTCACCAGAGCTCCCTAATTAATTAATCAATGGTAATTAATGCTAGAAAGCAAAGTACTTTAATGATTGAGTGAAAAATCAATATGTTTGCGAATTTTCATTGAGATTAAAAATGAAAAAAACACAGTCATGTTGTTGTTGTTGTTATGTGCCATCGAGTCGCTTGCGACTCATAGCGACCCTAAGTACAAGAGCTCTAAATGCCGTTCCATCCTGTGCCAACCTAGCCATCTCAAACACACTCATTCCCATCACTCCAGTACCAGAATTGATCCACCTCATGGAAGGTCTTCCTCTCCTGCACCACCCCTCCACTCTGCCAAACATGATGTCTTTTTCCAAGGACCAGTCCCTCCTTGCAACATGCCCAAAGTATGTCATACAAAGCTTCAGAATCCTTGACTCCAGGGAACACTCTGGCTTCACCCTCTCCAGGACAAAACTGTTTGTTTTCCTAGCAGTCCATGGTATATTCAACACTCTTCTCCAGCACCATAGCTCAAAGGCATCATCAATTCCATTTCTCTCATCCCTAGTCATTGTCCAACTCTCCAATGCAAAGCACATAATTGCAAAGACTATAGCCCGGATCAGGTGCACCTTTGTCTCCAGCCTGACATCGTTGCTCTTCAGTACTCTTGAGAGGTCCCTCACAGCTGACTTTCACAATGCAATTTGTCTCTTGATTTCCTGACTGCTGTTACCAAGAGCATTGACTGTGGAGCCAAGTAAACGAAAACTGTTAACTATCTCAATCTCTTCACCATCCATACTGATGCTGCCAATTGGCCCAGTGGTGAGAATCTTTGTTTTCTTGAAGTTGAGCTTCAACCCATATAGGAGGTTGCATCTTCTCTTGATACTTCCTGGATCATTTAACATTCTACCCAAAGTATCCTTAAGTATTGCCACCTGTGGCTTGAATTTGTTTTACAGCTCCTTGAGTTTAAGAAATGCTGAGTGAGTTTGGTCCTTTTGATTTTCTGACTCCAGCTCTCTGTACATTTCATTGTAGTATCTTGCTTTGTTGTCGCGGGCTGGGCTGCCTTTTGAAATTTTCTGTTCATCTCTTTGATTTCTTGGTTTCTTCCTTTAGCTTTGACTTCTCAGTGCTTTAATGCAATACTCAGAGTCTCATTAGTGGGTATTTTTTATTCTTTTTAAGTTAAACAAGTGCCAGTCTAGATCAAGGTCATGGTCTTCACAATTACATGCTATACATCAAAGATCTGGACAGTGACTAAGGATGACAGAAGAATTTATGCCTTTGAGTTTTAGTGCTGGAGAGGAGTCTTGAACATACCATGGACTGCCAAGAAAATAAATAGGTCTGTCTTGAAGAGGGTAAAACAAGGTTTCTTCTTGGAGGCTAGGATTTTGACGCTCTATCTCACATGCGTTGGGCGTGTGGCCAGAAGAGACTAGTCCTTGGAGAAGGACATCATGCTTTGAAGGGTGGAGGGACAAAACAGAAGAAGAGGACCTCGGATGAAATGGATTGATACACTAACTGGGGCAATGAGGATAGGTCTGTCGGAGTTGGTGAGACTGGCTCAGGATAGGGCAGGCCTCAGGGCTGTTGTACAGAGGGTCACTATCAGTCACAGCCTACTTGATGGCACATAACAACAACAACAAGGCAATTTTAACGTGCAGTCACTTTAGTTGTTCTTTGTTCTTCCTGCTAAGTTACTTCTTAAAAAAGTTATGTGAGCTACACAATACATTTAAATTTCATGAAGATACTTATGGATACAATCTAGTTATTAATTGTTATCAATAATTTTTCTTAACTTCATTTAGTTTGATGCCAAACTAGCAAGAATTCAAGCTAAACCAGCAAAATCATATCTGGATTCTACAGCTTTGCCACAAAGTATCTACAGAAGGGTATGTGAGTATTTATCCCATGGCTGTTGCTTAAGAAAATAAAAATATTTAATGATTTCTGTAAAAGTTATTTAGTATTTACTCATATTTAACAGTTCTTTCATGAAATACAATGTATAATAAGAAAGACAATAGATTTTGAATACTTAAACATAAGCTTAATTTTAACTAGTAAATTTGAGAAACACATAAGTTGTCTCACTTTCTGCGCCTCCTAGAATTTCATTATATGTTTTCAACTAAAAATTACTTGAATGTTTAGAAATTATTTTGGAACTTAGATTTATTTTGGTTCAGATGTCTTATTTGTATAGTTTATAACTTCAAGATTGACAGAGAGGTAGGAATAAGTGGAAACAAATGGTACTAATAGTTGGTTTGTATCCTTATCCAGCTACAATTCGTTGTTGTGTATCATCAAGTTGTAACCGACCCATAAATGACCCTCCCGTGGGTTTTCAGATCACATGGGGGGAGATTGTCCATCCTGCTCCTATGGGGCAGCTGATGGGTTCAGGCTGTGTGACTTCAGGACTGCAATGCAGCTTCTTTCTACTAGGCCACCAGCATTCCCTCAACTCATTAAGAGCCTCAAAATAGACATTATGGAGCTTTCAAAATAAGGCCTTTTAAAAAATAACTACTTAAATTAGAACTGTATTTATGTTGTTGTTCCTTCTTCTTAATCTTGTTATTTCTACATTGTGACAAATTCTTTCTTCATCATTTAGAAACTTCAACATTTTCAAGAAGAAAAAAACAAGGAGATTGCAGCTCTTCATAATACCATCCGAGATCTAGAGCAACGCCTTTCTGTTGGCAAAGATTCTTCCCTTAAGCTTATTGCAAAAGATTCTCACCATAAACGTAGACGGTTTTGAGTATAGCAGTAAATTCATTAGTAACTAATTTTAAAAAAAAAACAAAACTGTTGAAAAATTCACTTCTGTTTCCAGTATAACATGCTGACTGAATAATCACAACAATGGGGACAACTTTGACCTTTTAAAAAGCGCATTTATTTAAACAAATTTGTACTACCATGGCCAACTGTGTATTCCATTCTTACTTAATAGTATTAACCATAGAGGAGTTCAGGTTTATAGTACTTAGTTTACCTATAAACCATCATTGACTGTGGCAATACTTCCTAAGTAGTCTAGATATACACAACAGTCTTTAATTCCTCCCCCCTTCCAATCTTTCAAAATAGGCACTCTCAAGTTTTAGAAAAGCTTGACATAGTTCTTAGATAAACAAGATACAAAGTCTTAATTGATAAATGATTACTTAAAATATAGTTTTTTAGCAAAATATCTAAGTGTTAAGCATTTCTGAAATAGTAAATAATCTCTTTATAGTTTTAATCAGTTGAAAATGTTAAGAAAAAGATAGTTTAGAGAGAAAAGGATAATGTGTCTTTGTTGTTCTTTCTCCATTCTAAATTGCTAATTATCTAACAGAAACCCCTAGGTCATAGTTTATGCTTCTGTTTTCATTGATGCAAATAGAATGTTGGAAAAAGAAGAAGAAAGACATATTAACCAAGTACTGCAATCACCTATCAGCTGCCTTGTAATAACCAAATATGGTATGGATCAAAATTTTTGTGATCTAATTTTACAATTTGGAAGCCAATGTCAGAGATTTCTCCATGTTTATATAAATCCAATTTCTGGGTTTTGTCCCGCTTTACTGGGTAATTTGTTAAAATTCTGGAAATAAAATTGTGTCTAGACTGACTTGAGAAGGATATCCCACTTATAATATTTAGTTTGAAGCTCACTTTCACATTTCTGCCTTATTCTTTCAACTTCAGGTGGTGCTGGCTTCTGTGGGCTTAAGCTGCTGACTTGCCTGTCAGGCAGCTGGAGGCAGACGTCACTGTCAAGATTCAATGACTTTCTCCTCCACCAGAAGTCCCTGTCAGCTACATAATGATGGGAGGTTGTCTTTACAGTGTCAGGTGATTGCAGACCCTGTTTTTTCAAATATCAGATGTCGACAATGTCAGCATCAGCTACTAGGAGCCAACCCTGAATCTTTGGGCAACTTGCAGAGCAGTTGATTTTTACATCTCTTTTGTCAGAGCTTTTTCTGTAGAAGGGAAAGTTGTGAACCCTCACTCTCTGGCATATCTCAGTTCTCTGGGTGACTCTGCCTTTGATGGCCCTTGAGCTTGTGGTGGTGATGAAGGCCTAGAGGAGGGGGCTGCTGATGAGCATCTGGTTCGCCTGGTTGCTGATTCTCCCCTTGATGTTGATGTGAATGCTCATGATTATGACTGGGTCGGTCATGACCGTGATGGTGATCTGGTTCAGGGGCCTCAGTTGTTTCATCCACATTAGCCGAAGTGACATTTTGACAGAAGATTTCATCTTGGAGAGTCTGAAGTAAATACACAAATAACTTATCAAACTCTAAATTTACCAGAAATACACAAAAATTATATCTAAAGCTGACATATATGACATGCCAACTAGTCAGATAATACTGAGCTGGCTTTTTTTTTCCATACTGCCATTCTAACGAAGAGTGCTCTGGGAGCTTAGTGGTAATGAGTTGTGCTCCCAACCCAGAGGCACATGGTTGAAATCTGCCAGCTGCTCTGTGGGAGAAAGATGGGCAATCTCCTCTTATTTGACTTACAGACCCACTGGAGGTTCAGTTAGGAGTCGGTTCTGACTCAACAGGACGTAATGAAAACATACTAATGATAAAAGAGTAATGTCTGTTTCAACATCTAAACTTTCATTCACGTTGGTTCCTATGTATAGCTAATTATAACGTGCTTCTTATTCAAAATTTATTTCAATCAAAAGATCCTGAAGCATATATCAAATGAATATTGTTACTATTTTATAGATAGGTAAAATTGAGAATTAAACTTATTCAACAGTATAATTCAAATTTTGCCTTTGTTATCAAGAACAATTGATAAGTCTTCAAAATTCTAAAGAGGAATTTGAGAGTTGTATGAGGCTAAGAAAGAAAGCCATACCTCTGTGATGTGTATTTGCAGAAGCAAAATTAGATTGACATATTAAAGGACTATAGATTGCAGTAAAAGCAAATAAATTTCCTATCCTAAAATCAGTTTACCTCTGTAGAATCTCTCATACTTGCTTCAACAGTTTATATCAAATCTAAGCACTGACTCTGGTAATTAAAAAAATACCATGGACTGCTGGGAAAACAAACAGATTTGTCCTGGAAAGGGTTAAACTGGATGGATCCTTGGAGGCAAGGATTCTGAGGCTCCGTCTAACATAATTTGGACATGCTGTGAGGAGAGACCGGTCCTTGGAGAAGGACATCATGCTTGGGAGGGTGGAGGGACAGCGCAGGAGGGGAAGGCCCTCTATGAGGTGGATTGATTCACTGACTGGGATAATCGGGATGGGAGTGTCAGAGACAGTGCGATTGGCACAGGACAAAGCAGAGTTTAGGGCTGTTGTACATAGGGTCACTATGAATCACAAGCGACTCGACGGCACATAACAACAACAACAACATAACAACTATGATGCTAGGCCTTCAACACCAGAAAAAGCCGAACACACAAAGATGTCCAGGGAACATGAGCCTACAGATGCTGAAGGAAACAGAGACTTTCTTCCAGAACCAACAGAGAGAGGGGGTTTTCCTTTAGAGTTTGCACCCTGAATGTGAATGTCTAGCTCTCTAAACTGTAAGACAATAAATTCCTGTTTGTTTAAAAAAAAATACCAATAAATTTTGTTTAAAACTAGGTTTTTGTATGTCAGATTATGCTAAGAAATGTTTCAACTCTATTTATATCATGTCCTGCTGTAGTGCTGTTAACTGAAAAGGCTGCCCATTTCCCACTGATAATACTCCTTTCTGCATTACTATGGGTGTTTAATTTCCTGAAAATGTTGCTCTATTGTTACTCAAAATTGATCAGATGGCATTGTAACAGTGAATCTCAACTAAGCTGATTTGTAAATTAAGTTACAACTTCAAAGACTTAAAAACTCATTCATTCTCTATGTTTGGTGTGTTGTATGTTTTGTAAGTTTCACTGGGTTTTTAATATAAAACTACTAAGTAATCATTTTCTTGATTATTTATTATTTACTTCTAAAAAGAATGACAATATTTTATAATAAATACATGATTTTATAAATATTTACAATATAGTGTGATTAAACCTCACAAATAACTGTAGCAGTCTAATTTAGAAAAACTGATTACTAAAGAAATTGATTGCTCTATTTTGTTGAAGCACTTTGTTTTCACATTTCACTATCTCTATAACCAGTATGTGCCCTACAAAAATATTTCAGCATTGCATCCCTCTTCAATAGGCAGGATTTCTTTTCCTTGCTGTTGTTGTATATTGTTGATTCAGAAATTATTCATAATCCAGTCCTCCAGTGGGTTTTCAGAGGCTGTGAATCACACAGGAGATTACCCATCTTTCTCCTACTTACCTTTCATATAAACAATGGAATCTTAGATATGATAAAGTTGAAAACTCCAGTATGATGCAGTATTCAGATATAAAGAGGATAGATACTATTTCTATTTTTAGATGACTTATAAATTTTAATCATATTACAGGAAATGTTTTGCATCTGTCTTAGTCTAACTAGGTATATTTTTAACCATTAGACCCGCACAAGAATGTGAAATATTGAAAAAATTCCAAAATGCTATATATATTGAGTTAGTATTTTATTTGTATTATTTCAGACTCTTCCTCTTTAAAAGGAGTTAAATAGCCCTGATAGAATTATTATAAGGATTAAAATATCCCAAAAAATGTGATAACTAATTAACCCTTGAACCTTAACAACTAAGTAAATGAATTAAATGATTCATTGCCATTTGAGGTGGATTTCTTTAGAACTGGATAAAATCTGAAAGAAGTTCAGCTTACAAATAAAATGCACATTTTAAAACCTGAGTTAAAGTAGGGCCAATTTATGCTATCAAGAAAGTACTGTTGGTATTATTTTTCTTTTCCGTGTAAGGGAAAGGGTCTAATTAATGAAATAAAGTCAATTCTTTGAGTACAGTTTTTAAATGATATAAAAATATAGTACTTCTCATAATTATAAAGTCTCATAGTTATTAACAAAATATTAACAATCAATAGATAACATTCCATCTTGAAATAAATTCCAACTACAGAACGGGAAAACAGAGTAAAGATCTCACAGAAAAACTCTTAGGTTTGCATCTTTGATAAACTAAGTAGTTCTTTAATTCCTTTTACATTGCAGGAAACTCCCATTAAAATAATGTTTTATGTTAATTATCTGAGCACTTATGCTAATAGAACATTATTTGATAGTAGCTGATATATGTTATCTATATGAATTTTTTAATAAAATTCTTGTACTCAAAGACAATGATAATACAGACCTTAGAAAGGTGTCTTGAAATATCTATTAATAATAGGAAATGTCTGTAATTATAATTCTGTAGTTTCTTTTCAGCATACTAAAAAATACTGACTAGCTAACTGGTCATGAAACACTAATTCATTTAGATAGCTCTTTGAATACTTTTCTGTTTCCTTCCATTAAGAACAATTGAGAAAAGTACCATGAGAGAACAGTTTCCACACTTCTTTTCACAGTAAGTAATCTTAATGGCAGCTTCCACATATGGAAAAGTTAAGAAGGAATAAGGCAAACCAATGTGATACACAAGACGGCCACATCTAAAATTTAAAAAAAAAAAAGACAAATACAAATGTCATTATAATATTTTCTGTCATTATAACATTTATCATAATCCTAGCCCTTGGAGGTTACTCTTCAGCCCTTTAATAGTCTGGCTTATAAAAGAAACAGTGTCACCTGTAAACACTATGTTCCCTTATACAATTGACTAGAAGAAACAAAAAAGTCAGCATTTACCCAAAAGCAAAGATGAGAAAGCAAAGAGGTACAAGGAAACTGGATCATTGGAAATAGAACCAACAAGATGGAAATAATGAGAAGCTGACACATTATGAAAATTGTAACCTGTATCACAGGATGATTTGTATAAAATTGCTAAACAGGAATCTAATTTCTGTGTAAACTTTAACCTAACACAGTAAAATATTTTCAAAAGCCTATCTGGGTATTATAATACAAAGCACTTAATAATTCTCTTTTATATCCTTGACACTCATACCAAATGCTGTCATGGCAAGACTACGTAGTCTAATAGCATTTTAAAATATTATAGATATGTAACCCTATGTCATATTTAAAATATGTAGTAACATTACTGCTATGTAATCAAATACAATTTTGTAGTTGTATTTATCTTGGAGAAGGACATTATGCTTGGAAAGGTGCTGTGACAGCGCAGGAGAGGAAGACCCTTGATTTGAGATGGATTGATGCAGTAACTGGGGAAACGAAGGTAGGTGTGTCAGAGACAAATTCGCTCAGGATGGTGTTGTCCATAGGGTCACTATGAGTCACAAGTTATTCAATGGCACATAACAACCACCTTAAATTATAAGTTTTGGACAAGCAAAGTTTAGTCATGCTATTAATCTCCAAAATATTTTAAATGTCTATGTGAAATACAGGATAGTGTGTTGTGAATCTTGGATCAAGCTGGATCTCAGGATAACCTCTCGCGTCTTGAGGAGGGACACATGGAAAGCTCAGGACTCTTATGGCTTTCTTTTTGCCCCAAGTGGGTGTCAGCAGATGGGACTTGACATATGAATTGGGGGTCTCTGGCTCAGAGTCCGCCAGCATTTGGGTATTGCAGAATTTTAAAATACTGAAATGTTTGGCCATGCCTGCAGGCTGAGGGCTAGGGTACTGTGAATCTCGGTGCTCAGGCCTGGTTTTAATTGTTTTTGGTCAAACATTCTTCTGGGTTGTATAACCCTGGTCTGTCCACTTGCTGTACGGAGGTAACTCGTGGTTGCTGTGATAGTGAACACTTTGACGCTGATGTGTCTGTCATATGTGATAATGGTGGACAGTGTTTGGTGAAGCTCCCCAATTAAAACAAGCTTGGAAGCAGGAGTGGCACCCACTTCCAAAGTAGCTTGCCTCCAGAAACCCTATGAACCTGGAGAAACGATGAAAGTCATACAAGTGTTCAGGTCTTTCATTCACAGGGTCGCTATGAGTCGACAACACTTAACAACAACATGTAAAATAGAAGGGAATTCTTTTTATTAATCACAGTGTCAGTTTATGGGGTGGGAAGGGAGAAGATGTGGAAGGGGAGAGTCCATTTACTTTATTTTCCCTACTAAAATGAACTCTGTGTGTACTCTACTTGCAAAAATTTCAAAGCAAAGATTTTAATGAGCTCATCAATGGAACAAAAAGGCCTATGTCATTTCAAATCACTATTTCATTAAATACAAAGTGAGTATATTGTAATTGGGGTTGTGAGAGGGGAGGGGAAATACACACCTATCATATATGAGGAAGTCATCTTTGTTTCCATTTAAAAGAGTCCAGACATCTGTTTGGTTTTCTTCTTGTTGATAAACAGGAATATGCTCTGAAACCTTATTTTTAAGGTATAAGTATTTTAATTGAGACTCAACTCCTTGATGATTGACAACTACATAGGATATATTAGAATAACCTTCTTTTTCCAGTTTTACTCGCAGGTCTTCCAATCTAAAATAAATGGGGAAAATTCATAAAATTCATTATCTCCTTCAATTCTATTAGTCATTTTTTATCTTTTTCTCAATCTCTTTTTCCCCTATATGAAACCCTCTGCTATCTTTTAATTTACTTATAACTCTACTACATATCCTTGAAGATTCTGAAACTTCCTTTTTTTTTCATTCAGAACAGAGCAGGGTAACACTGCATGGTTCAAAACTGGGAAGGGTGTACGCCAGGGATGCATCCTGTCTCCATACCTTTTCAGCATGTATGCAGAGCAGATTATCCGAGAGGCTGGGCTCTATGAGGAGAATTGTGGCATCAGGATTGGTGGAAGATCTATTAACAATCTGCGTTAT